CTTAATTGAACACAACTGATTACTTATTCTTAAAGAAAAATTTTGTGCCACTAACAACTTGAAACAATCACTTACAATTTCCTCAAATGCTCTTCAATTATTTTCTTTTCAATCAATATTTATGTTTAATTCATAGAACTAGTAATTGGGTGTATGTTCCCCAAATATAATTTTTATAAAAGTTCACAAAAAATTCCAGTGTTCATAGACGTTATAGTTTTATTCAGTGAAAAATACACATAATATTATAGATGTCCAAATTTTTTAATTTAAGAATATCTTAAAATATATTATTGTGTGCATGTGTGTGTGTGTGTGTGTGTGTGTGTGTGTGTGTGTGTACATGGGAATGGAAATGAGATTGTATGCTACATGCTGAGATCAGAGGGCATTACTCTTACTGTGGGATCCATGAATCAAAATAATGTCACCAGGCTTGTGTTGCAAGCATTTAGCCTGCTAAACCACCTTGCCAGCCCCAAACTAAAATTCTTAATATTGGTTAATTAGTAAAATCAAATATTTAGTCTTTAACTTTAATCTCTAAGGATGTTCTAATAAAAGTTATTGGGTCCTGGGCTGGGATGATGGCTTCGTGGCTTAGAGCAGTTGCTAGGCAGGTGTGGGGACAGTAGTTTGGTGCCCATGCAAAAAGCTGGTATGGTCACACACCTATCTTGTGAGGATTGGAGACAGGAGGTTCTGCTGGGGCTTGCCTGGCCACTAGTCTAACTCCAGGAAAATGAGAAACCCTCTGTCAAAGGAATAAGGTGGGAAGTGATAGAAGCAGAACAACCATTTCTGGATGCTGCACACTTGAGCAGAGGTGCGCTCGTGTGCACGTGCGTGGTCGCCCTCCACCCCCCCCACCCACACACAAGGTGAAGGGGAACAGGGTGACAGAGGGACAGAGTGACAGAGAAGAGATTCAAAGTAAATTTTCAAAATAAACATGGCACAGGTTTCTCTAAGCACTTGTTCCTTTCATCTTGCGATAGTGTAAGCAGTTCAGGTGTGAGAGAATTGCTTTACTAAATAAATGAGAAATAAAGAGTAATGCTCAAATAGCCATAGGATTGAAAGAAAAGGTACAAGTTAGCCTCCGGTATATTGCATCATACAGATGAAAAGAGAGGAAATCTGTGACATAAAGAAAATAGTTCATGGATTTTGGTTTATCTGACCACCAAATAACTTGCTCACTATTTTCTCTCACTAAGCAAATTAAGTGCTAAGTTCCTTTGAGCTGTTAGAGAGCCACAAGGAAGTAACAAGGCAACTGAGATCAGCACAAATCTCCAGATATCCAAAGCTTTTAAATCTAGGAAGTACTTAGGAGTTATTAAAACAGCTTTGGTAGAATATTGGTGGGTACCCCAGGGGAAGAAATGGGCTAAACACACAGAAAATATTGTACTTGAGGCATTATCTTTTATGTGTGGCACCAAAAAAAAAAAAAAAAAAAATCAGGTCTCAGTAACATTTGAGGAGTAAAGTGTACCAATGCTTGACATCAGTTTGATTGGCTTCTGGTAATGGGGAAGAAGAAGACTCCATTTGGCCATTGCTTTGCTCTTGAATTCTTTTTAACATAGAAGCTGTTACTATCTCATTTCCAAATTAGAATATAAATTGAATAAAGACATGCATATTGGGTTCTTTCACTTCTAAATAATATTATTCAGTTTTACTTCAGAGGTTCTTAATAAGGTGGATTATTTTACTCAAAATTGTATCCAGAGTTAAGAAATAAACAATCACGTTGATTCACACTAATTCTGGAACCTGGGAAGCAGAGACAGAGATGCATCTATGAGAGTTTGAGGCCAGGTCTACATAGCAGGCCCAGGCTTGCTAGGGCTATATACTGAGACTTCATCTCAATAAATAAGGTTAATAAATACAACAAAATACTCAACTGTTCTAGAAGAACATGTGAGTTAGGGAGTGGAAACACAGACTAGAGGAGGGAGTATGTGGAGGGGTAAATGATGCTGAGGGCCATTTGAAGACCTCATATAAAGCTCCTGCTGGAGAAGCTTCTATATATGTATGGAACATACACATATATCAGGAGTTATGAGAGTCTGCACAGAACTGTGCAAGCTCAAGTTAGACAAAATCCCAGCATGGAGAGAGGGGGAGGACAGGAAGTCACACACCAAGAGAAGGAGGGACTGACAATTGATCACTTGACGGTAGAAGATCACATATTCAAAAATATATGGGCAGCACAAACTGGACTTGATGGGGATTTTTTAAAAACATGTGTGGGGGGTGGCAAATGTGGGTTGTTAGGGAGGGACTGTGGTCTGGGAAGAATTAGAGGAGGGGTGAATATAATCAAAACACACCGTGTGAAATTTGGCAAATAACTAATAAAAACACATTTTTTTTTTCTTTTTTTGAGGCCTCAGTCTTGTGAATATTGGTATCAGTGTGAGTGTTTTTTCATTAAGTTAGTCCTCACAAGAACAGTCATTATTATACACTGTGTGACATACAATGAATAAAGACAAAAGGAATAACAATTTAAAGATGGTTGGTCACCTTTGTGCTTGGGCCTTGTTTTAGCCCAAGAGAACAGAACATGTATGACTATAAAATATCACATTGATATATTCTACTCTGTCAGAGCAGGCAATACCAAACTTGCCAAATTCCAAGTCACGTAGCTCCATTTTCCAACTTGCTTTTCTAGTACTTTTTCAACTGAGTGAATTATTTTAACCTCGGATCACGTGAAGAGCTGTGGCTCGCATAGATTATCAGGTGTCCAGTCCAGGGGCTACAACTTTTCCACAGCAAGTAAATGATCTCTCCACAGTACTTTGGGATGAGAAAGAATGGGCAAATATGAAGAATTATATTTTCATTTCTTCTCTTTGGAGAGATTGTTCTGTAACTTTTGTGTTTATCTTGGAAAGCTATTTTTTATTTGATTTCTCTTTTAAATAAATAAAACAGCCCCCATATGGTAAGCAGCTCCCAGTTGACCACAGAGTGATTCAATCTAGTAGTTTAATGGCATTCACTTGGCAAAGTCCCTCCAGTAACAATCCCCCTTAAAGACTTCGGCTTTAAACTCCCAATTTCATGAATAAACACGCTTTAGGGAGACTGAATCTTGAGTGGCACAGATAGCTGTGGAAATGACTATTTTCACCATTTAAACAAAATGTTTAAATGATTGGTCTTCTCTTCCAAAATTTTGAAGATTTCACTATACAGGAATGCATACTGTGCCATATCCAAACTTCAATATCTTCCTCATAAGGGAAATATCTCTAAATTTATTTTTTTGTTTGCCAAAGTTTTTCAGTCTGCACTCCATCCAGACATTCAGTTTATCTAATGCATGCATTTTAATTCAGATCCTGCCAATTTCTTTGGAATGTCTAGCAATTATGGATATAGTATGAACCAAGAATGCCATTCCTAATGTTGTGATTACTACTGTCGAAACTGTCTTAGCAGTTCTATTTTCAGATTTAAGGTCTCTTCTTACTCGACATAAACACATACGTGCACACACTACATTTTATGTAGAAATTTATAGAGAAACTAAAATATTTTAAAATAGTCATTTTATTTGAAATTATTTATTCTTTAAAATACATATTTAGCCATGTCGACTTAACCCTGTGTCAGTCTCATTTTATAATATTTTAAATTATAATGCAAAGTTGAAGTTTCCATGACCCAGAACCATGATTCAGACAGGGAAGTATAGTGAGCAGAACAAAGACCTTTCAACTTCTAGAAAACCTTGAAGAAAGTGAATTCTCCAGTGTAGAGTCTGACTCAAACACGGCTATTTTACTTTTATTTTTAAACGTTAATATTAATATTGGGGGTGTTTTGTCTGCATGTGTGTATACATGGGTGCAGAGCCTGTGGAGTCCAGAAGAGGGCATCACATCCCCTAGTCCTGGCTTTAGAGAAGGTTGTGGGACACTGGGTGAGTGCTGGGAACTGCAATCTCCCTGATCTGCAAGAGTAGCCAGTGCCCTTAAACACCAAGCAATCTCTTTGGCCCTTCAGAATATATTGTAAGAAAGCATCAGCAAAGTATTCTGTTTTTTCAGGTTACCTAGAATATGACGTTTCTATAACTTAGCTTCTCATTTTCTCCAAAGAGAAATGAGCACTGATGGACAACAATATACACTGGAAATGTAATAACAGCATCTTGTGCCTAGGGACCTCAGAGCTTCTCAATATTGAGAACACAGAAGCACTCTTAGTACACTTGTTAGGGTCCAAGAATTGCTTTTATCTCTTCTGTATGTAGAAAGTCTCATGTACTTTCTACATACTTCAGAAGTACTTCACCAAGCACATCATTTCTAGTGTTAACCAATACACAAAACTGTGCTTCTTCACGTGGCAAGAGAGGTCTTTGGGCAACTCATTTACTTAACCTGAATTCAACTGTAATAGCTATCAAACAATATGATCTTACTGCATTGTTGCAATGCACAAATTTAGTGCTAGTTTGAGTTAGTCAGCTTTTACAGTCTATATCCTAGTTTAGGAAGAATTTAGATAAGTGGGGATGAGATGACTAGGCAGTTAATGGTTCCTGCCTCCAAACCTAATGCCCTAAGCTAGACTGCTCCCTAGACCTTAGCATTTACATGGTTGAAGGAGAGACTTGAGTGAGCCTGTGCATTGTACACACACACACACACACACACACACACACAGAGAGAGAGAGAAAGAGAGAGAGAGAGAGAGAGAGAGAGAGTCACTGTTTCAAGTATTCATAGACTTTTGTTTTTCATGGTGAGACATAAGTATGCCATCTGTAGTTATTTTAGAGTCAAATTACCAAAGATAATAGCGTAACTTGAAGTTCAACATCGTTTCTCCAGATCCCAGCTGATAGATTCGGGCAGGCAAAGTATATAAAGAAATGCCAAAGAAAATACTGAAGTTAAAAAGTACATTTCAAATCACCATGGCTACCACCTGATGTCTGTGGCCAAGATAGTTACCAACTAGAGCAGAGACGAAGGAGGAGCTGGGGTCGAAAGGACATCTGCCCCTTCCCCTCTCAGATCTGTGTGACTCCAAGTGAAACAGGGGCTCCTGCAAGAAAACAGAAAGGCACTGTGAAGGCGCCCATTGGGACAAGAGTTCAATTGCTCAGATAAAATCTAGCAAAGCTATATTACTAAAAACCTACATGGTCTCATCAGGATCTCAGTGACAGCATAATATTAGTTACAATGTGAGTTTTATACATAAGCACAGGGGCTTGGCAGATCCTAGTTGAGGCTCATTGTTTTCAGAACATATGAAGGGTTGAGAGAAATTAGCTGGTTTTATCAATCAATACACTGAGATGTGTCGGTTAAATACTTCAAAGACAAGCATAATGGGAAAAGTACTGAAAGAGAATCAGAAACTAAAGCAGAATTGGGGTATATATCCCTGATATGCACCATTAATGTTTAGAATAATAATGAAATGTGCAACCAATAGTTTAGAATATTTATTTTAGTAATTTTCATCATATACTATTTTTAAATATCAAATACTGACATTTTAAAATCATTAGTTCATAATTGCTTCAAGATACATGCATAAGTTAATGCTATAACCTATTCACCATTTCATTTCTAATTTTTGATATCGTTTTCAGTAATAAGTTGCTGAATAAAAATATTTCCACAAATGTGCTATTGCATTATTGGCCTCTATTTCATGGGTGTAATCATAGAAAATTTCTCTGAATGTTCCTAGATTTCAAAATTCTCACTCACTTTTTTACTATAAATAATTAACCTCCAGCAAGTCTGCCATAAGTACTTTGAGTACAAGAAAGACATTTAGGAAAGTAGCATCAATAAGGTACCAATTTGTGATAGTTTCTTCCCTTCATGAAGACAAACTGGGTCAAAAGGAAGCTAATTCCTCTAAGAAGCTTATAGCCCTAACATTCTGAAAATGATTTGGATAATAGGTCATCATCCTGTGATGAGAGATGTCATTCTGTATATGTTTCTTATACTGGTTAATAATAAAGCACTGTTGGCCAATAGGAAAGGAAGATAGGAGAGACAAGGAGGAAATAGGAAGTAGTAAGGATGGAGGAGGATGGAGAGCCTAGAGAGAACAGAACTGCCATTCCTCCGCTCTCGGTAAGACCACGTGGAAATACATAGAAATGGGTTAACAATTAAGGCAGAGCTAGCCAATAAGAAACAAGTAAGAGTCTCCTTGTGTTATTTGGGGCTGGCGTGGCGGCGGGACAAGACCGGGCGGCGGGTGGAAAAACCGTACTCCTTACAATCCTGGGTCGTCAGTTCTGTGCTGTGCTAGGCACATTGGTGCATCATGTACCTCTGTCAGAGTTTGTAAAAAGGCATACACATATGACATTAAATTCAACACTGAGAATTCATGAACATTAACAATGAATCCTAATATATTCTTAAACATCAATGCCTAACGCCAGACAACACTCAGAGGTACCTTAACTAAAAACTTGCCCTCTTTCTCCTGGAGATTTCACATTTAACAGTGGCTAAAGCTGGGCCAACAATGTTCATTTAAAAATAGTAAACAAATTAAACTTTATTTTATTTCATCTCTTTAATAAAAGCTTATATTCTTGGTGTCCTATGAAAAATTCTATCATTTCAATGTTAAAAGTAAGTAGGCTTGCATCTGCAACTTCTACTTTTCAGTCCATTAATCAAAGTGTCATTGTTGTTTGTAGGGGGCTGCTTGTTTCTTTATTGCTGCTCAGAATGTGGAAAGTATTCTCGCAGAATAATAATATAGGTGCTACCAATATTCTTTACGTTAATTATAATATGTCGTTAATAACAATAATATCTGCTTTTAGCTTTTTTTCTTGAGCTACTGAATCTTCAGATGAAGTGATGACAGTATCTTCACTAGTTTTATGTGGCTAGGGCTATTTAATGTCTTTATCAAATACTTGATAGAAAAAGCAAGCAAAGGGTGCATTTATTAGAGTGATCTGAGGACTGAAGTATGGCTCTGGTCATAGGCAACGTTGTCTGAAGTCATTATTTCAGTGCTCCATTGGTTAACATCAGAAGTGGTGTCATCCCAACCTTTTAGCTGCCTGTGACATATGTATGGGTGGCTGTCAGACATTCTACCTAAAGAAGTTATCTGCAGTCACAAGCCTGACAGTTTAAACATTTGAAAGTTAAAGCAGGAATAAATCAGAAATCAAATTGTCACATGAAAGTCAATGATGCTTTAAGACATAAAACAATTTCAGTGTGTGGTTAAGGCTAAATAACCCAGAGAGAGTTTGCCTCTTTGATAGACACACAGAAAAGAATCCAATTTTAAATGCATCAGTCTGCTGATAACAAGTATAAATTTTCTAATAAATAAACCAGGAGAAAGATAATTTAAGAAAGCTCATCCCATCAGCTCTACTATTAATAGAAATGTCACAATTTTGTTTTCAGTTTGATACTCAGACTGATCTCTCAGACTTTTCATTGTGTTGTCTGAAATAACAGAGTTGAAGTCAAACTGAGTCACAGATACTGTAACAGTCAAAAAAGAATAAAAAAAAAAAAAAAAACAGAGATTCAGAATTCTTATCTTAGTTGCTAGATTACAGAAGGCAATTTGCAGATGGTATCAACTTTAGGATTTTGAGATGTAGAGACTATCCCAATGACCTGGGTGTATTTAGTATAATTACATAGGCCCTTACAAAGGTAATTTGATGATAAAAACAAAATTATCCAATGAAATTCATAATAGGAAAGGCTTTGAAGACAGAAGAATGGGGTAGTACCAAGGAACACTGATGATCTCTGGAAGTTGGTAATGACAATGAAGTCAGTTCCCCATTGGGCAGCCCTTCTGGAATCCATCAGGATTCATTTTAAGTTTCTCACTTAGTGAACTATAAGCTAAACAATATGGTGATCTCTGCTATGACTATTTAGCATAGAAAATTAGTGCAGCTCCCAAAAAGGACAGTGGTCCTTGCCTGACTTCTTGTTCCCCTATACTCTGTGCTCTAAGAATTAGTCCTCATAATTTTCTCTACACCATGCACATTGCAAACCAGAACAATAAAACCCTCTATCAAGTCCATGTCACCATCTGTTCAGTCCTTTAAACATGTTTGCTTCAGTCAGACATTGACATCTGTATTTGGCCAAAACTACCATTTACCATGCTTTCCCAATGCTCTGTTCACTTTTGTGATGATCATAATCCAGCCTGATGGTTCCTATCCCTGCAGTGGTCTGACTTGGAGGCCTAGTAATTTCACCCACATCACAGATGCACATCTCCATCCTCCTGTGCAATTGTTTGCATGCTTTATTGACCCAACTTAACATCTCCTCCCTGAACTCTTCTACAAAATCACCACAGCAGAAAAAGTATTCCTTAACCCACACAGTATGCAAGGTTAGAGCACTTTACTTTTTAAAAGATAACAAAGCTTTCCTTTCCTTTCTGTCTATTTGTCAGTTCTCATGTCTTTTTGTTGAGCATTCTCTTATCTGTGTTTCTAGCTTCCATGTTATCAAACCTAAGCTCATAATGACAGCTAGAGAATATCATGAATGACTAGTGTTACTTAATTCTGCATGAAAATAGGTGAGTCAAGAGGGAGAAAATAGATCAGTGGACACTAAGTCACAGATGGATAGAAGTAGTGGGTTCTTGGGTCCTATTGCACATAGGGGACTGTTGATAATTATGATTTATCTCATAGTTAAACAAATCTGGAACAAAGAATTTTGAATGTTCTCACCATAAGGAAACAATAAGTATTTGAGGGAATATACACCTTTATCCTAATTTGTACATTTCACAATTATGGCTATATTGAGGCATCATAGGACATCCTTAAATATGTCTAATTTTACAGTTTATGTAATATTAATATATTAAAGAACAATAAAATAAGTGTATGTGCAATTCATCTGCACTCAGGATAGCAAAATCAATGTTAACAAAGTATTTATTTTAAAAGTTTAAAATATTGAAAACAAAACTGTCACTAAATAACACGATTTTGGGAAAGCTTGTGAAATTGACAAGTATCTTGTCTCCCAAGCAATTCCCTTTGGAGAGGGAACTGGGATCAATATGTAAAATAATAAAAAAATAATAAGTATATATAAAAAAGAAAAAATCCTTTTGAGGAACCGTTTCTCATGTCAGCCGACTATCTGATACCTTATGCACAAAATAGCTTTCACCACACATATATCTATATATAAGACACTTTTTCAGGTTTTCTTCATGTTAATGGCTAAGCCTGGGCCAGTAATGGACCCACACACAATGATACATTACGGTCACCAAACTTAAATATACATTTATCTTGTATATTCATTGTCCCTTCTTGGCCTTCATGCCTGCTCCCTGGCACCCATTTGTCTCATCCCTTTAAGGTTTATCATCCTGGTTTTAACACAGCTTGCTGGGTAGTCTACAGTGCTCCCTTCTCATTTCTCTTCTCCACTGAGGAACTGTTCCTTCTGAAATAAAGTGAATTTCTTCATATCTCTTCCCAACTTGATTTCTTCTATTGACTTCACACACACTATGGAGTGCAGCTTGAAGACTGCTGTTCTGAGTGCTTCTCTTTCTCTTTTAACAGTTTCTCTTCTAGTTGTGTTCTAGCTATCCTACAAGACTTGCCAGTTTCTGGGGATCTCTTTTTGAGCTCAACAATGTAGTTAGGGTAACAATATCAAGAATTCAGACTCCCCTTTGCATCCCAGAGTTTCCTATCTAATTCCACTTGACACTCTTCTGCATTTAACTTCTGCCTACAGCATCCTACAGGTTTTGTTTGTTTGTTTTTTTTTCAAATGTATCAGTGATCCATCTGTTCCCTACCTTATATCTATTATTTGTCTTTTTCCTTTACTGGCCTCTCAGCTTGAGAAAATCTTCTGACTATCTTCTTTGTGTCTTCTATATCTCCACAGCTGTTTATATTGTCTGAGAAAATTATACCTGTGCAGAAGGCAACATCCTCTGGTTTTTTATAGTACACCTCCAAAACAACTTATAAAGCATAGCTGTTATTTTATGCATTGATCTGGTTAGATCAGCTC